GATTATATTAGAGTATATAATCCATTTTTAAATTTAAATAATAATATTTAACAAAATAAATTTTTAAACTTTATATAAAATTTTTATTTTTTAAATATAAATTAAAATTCTCATTATTTTTAAAAATTAAAACTACCACATATTAATCTCATTAAAACAACATATTAATTATTATTTTTTTAATATGAACATAAAGTACACAGAGAAAAAAGCGCTAAAACAAAATTATACTAATGTACAGCCTCAAATCTATAAAAGCATCTCTTTCTCCAACTCAAGAAACAATTTCAATTTCTTTTACACCACTCACTTACAAACCTCAAATCTAAGCCATCAATGCTAATCAACCCTTAAATTCGCTGCATCGCATTCACAATCCATGGCTGCCAACGCCGCCGCCGCCACCACCGCCAAGAAAGACAGCCAACAGGCTCTCCTGCTCGGCCGTTTCGAGATCGGGAAACTCCTCGGCCACGGAACCTTCGCGAAGGTTTACCATGCCAGGAATGTTAAGACCGGCGAAGGTGTGGCTATTAAGGTTCTCGATAAGGAGAAGATACTCAAGGGCGGCCTTATCGCCCACATCAAGCGCGAAATCTCCATCCTCCGTCGTGTTCGCCATCCTTACATTGTTCAGCTCTTTGAGGTTATGGCTACCAAATCCAAGATCTACTTCGTCATGGAGTATGTTCGAGGCGGCGAGCTCTTCAACAAAGTTGCCAAGGGCAGGTTGCGGGAGGACGTCGCGAGGAAGTACTTCCAGCAATTGATCTCTGCGGTTGCGTTTTGTCACGCTCGAGGGGTTTACCATCGGGATTTGAAGCCCGAGAACCTGCTGCTCGACGAAAATGGAAATTTGAAAGTGTCTGATTTTGGTTTGAGCGCCGTTTCTGATCAGATTAGGCAAGACGGATTGTTTCATACCTTTTGTGGAACTCCGGCGTACGTCGCGCCGGAAGTTCTGGCGAGAAAAGGGTATGACGCCTCAAAAGTAGATCTCTGGTCTTGTGGGGTGATTTTGTTTGTTTTGATGGCAGGGTACTTGCCCTTCCATGATCATAATGTCATGGCTATGTATAAGAAGATTTACAGAGGGGAATTCAGGTGTCCCAGGTGGTTTTCCCCGGAGCTAACCAAGCTTCTTGGACGTTTTCTTGACACAAATCCAGACACCCGCATTACGATTCCCGAGATCATGGAGAACAAGTGGTTCAAAAAGGGATTTAAGCATATTAAATTTTACATTGAGGATGATAAGTTTTGCCAGGTTGAGGATCAGGAGCATGATGATGATGAATCAGATTCACATTCTGATCATTCGACCATGTCTGAATCAGAGGCAGAAATGGAAACGAGAAAGAGGGCAACTTCGTTGCCAAGACCAGCAAGTTTGAATGCTTTTGATATTATATCCTTTTCTCCAGGGTTCGATTTGTCTGGTTTGTTTGAGGAAGGTGGAGAAGGAGCAAGGTTCATTTCAGGGGCTCCGGTTTCAAAGATTATATCCAAATTGGAGGAGATAGCGAAGTTGGTGAGCTTTACAGTGAGAAAGAAGGATTACAGAGTGAGTTTGGAGGGGTCTAGAGAAGGTGTGAAGGGGCCATTGACCATTGCTGCTGAGATATTTGAGTTAACACAGTCTTTAGTGGTTGTGGAGGTGAGGAAGAAAGGAGGGGATCGAGAAGAATATGAGGAATTCTGCAAAAAGGAATTGAAGCCTGGATTGGAGAATTTAATGCGGGAGGAATTGGAATCCACTGCTGTAGCTGCTGTTCCTGCTGATGTTTCACATTTACCTAAATTACCTTCAGATATTGAATAGAGAAAGGGAGAAGGCAAAAAAGGGTATGCCCATTTCGCCATCTCTCTGTTTTTCCTCTTCTAAAGCTTTTTATAATCGAAGTTGTATCTTCATTTCTAATGATTTTTGTGTTGTTCTACTTTAGTTGGATTTAGATGTTTCTATATGTTGTATGGAGAAGGATGGTGTATATTACAGAGAATGGAATGGAATACAAATTTCTCAAAATCTTGGCATTTTGCTTCCACTTTGTACATTTTTTTCATGAAGACATAAAGGAATGGAACTTGTTTTTATGCATTCTAATTCTAGTACTTTAGGAGAAAAAAAGTTATAAAGCTTGCAATTACCATGCATTAGGTTCTCATGAGAAACTGTGAAATAATTATTTTCATAAATTAATTCTTCATTTGGTTCTGAGTTTCTTGAAGAATTTGTCATTCAGCATTTATTCTATTTATCAATCCTTTTTTATTTTTTGTTGTTGTAATTTTGGGTTTGGTTTGGATCTTACTAATGGTACTCCACCTATTTATTAATAGCTGAAATATTTGTCGTGTTTTGATTTGAGTATCAATGTAGTTGGGGCTTGACATTGAACTCGATGTAGTTTGGTACTTTAATTTGGTTAGAGGAAAAGCATGCAGAGAGTAGATGGGGACTATTTTAAAAGCAGAAAAATGCTAAACAGCTGAGTTATTATCCTTATCGGGTAGATAAGCTTTCAAGATTTTAGCTAAACGTTTGAAAATCATGACCCTTTATGATAGTAGTTGAGAATTAAAGTGCTAATTTTAAACCATAAAAATTGAGGATTGGTTGAGAGCAAGAACTCTGTTTCAAAAAACTAATCATTTTACCGAAATTGCGTTAGGCCTTGCCAGTTGCCACTTGGTAATTTGTTCCTATTTTCCTACCTTTGAATTGATGAAGATTTTGTTCTGAATAGACTGTTAGGTGGCAGGGACAAGTCATGTTTTACGACCTAAATTTGGTGAAATGGTGTGGGAAGTGGAAGAACATATCAGAGCAAATGTAGAAAAGAGATGTTGGAATACGAAGGATAATGTAAGCTATGTTTTTTTTATTGGCAAATGTAAGCTATAATGTTATGTTCTTTCCTTTTACATTTTTCTTTCCCTGTCCAGGAGAGTTGGAGTTGCTGAAATGAAAAGCAGCAAGCAATTCCTCATTCAATTTCAGCAGTTTTTTCTTCTAAAATTCAAATGCGACCTGAATGGTCCACACAGCTGCTGGGATGATGATTGATAGTTGAAGGTTTGACATGAGACAATGGACCACCATGTGTAGTGGATCAAAGACTAAGCTTTTATTATTATTATTATTATT